ATGAGGCTAGACACTCTCAGCCAACTTTAGCACCACCAGCCTGCCTCTGTTATAGCTCTTCTGCCTGGTGTTTCCATGGGTCTGGTTCCCAGACCATCAAGCTCCTGGGCAGGGGATTTTATTTTATTTACTTTTTTAGAGACAGGTCTCACTATGTAGCCCAGGCTGGAATGCAGGTGCTGTTCACAGGTGCGATCATAGCATGCTACAGCCTCAAACTCCTGGGCTTGAGTGATTCATCTTCCTCAGCCTCCCACAGGCACTCCCCACTGGTCCTGGCTCTATTCATCTTTAAACCCTTGGCATAGTATCTGGGACTTGGACTGTCAATAAATATTTGTTGAATTAAATTTACTTGAATTTTCCAAAAAAGTTGCTGTCTTCCTTTCAGTGACTCAGTGATTCTTTTCAGAGGTATAGCCAGCTGATTGTTTCAAAGGCTTCCTTGCATATTCCTACCACTGATAACAGCGCCATTTCTTCAGCATCTGCGTGTGTATCAGGTACTACCATAAATGCTTTATGACATTAACTCATTTAGCCCTGTGAGCTCGGTTTCTAGTGTACTCCATTTTACAGGAGGAGTATTCTGAGGCTTATCTAGCTGGATGATTGACCAAGGTATGATTCAAACCCAGGGCTGCTCTCTCACTCCAAATCCACTCTCTACCTTTCATCTATGAACCAAGATCCACCTGTATTTTTATCTTGACCATGGTCATGATTTTTTAAAGTGCATTCTTACTGCACATTTTATTCTGTATGCCTAAACAGAACTGTCTAAGGATAATCTCCATTTTTATTTTAGCCCATGGTCAGGGGTATTTTCCTAAACAGCTCAGAACCAAGAAGAGCAAGAACAAATAGCTAAGTTCCTTTGTTTGGAGCCGCCCTCCCCTGATTCCCTAACGACTGGCACTTATGCCACATTTTCTCACTAGAGAGAAAAGTTCAACCCCAGACATTTCTCAACACTGAGTTAAGACTAAAAGTTCTCTGCCCTCCATGAGCCCACAGTCTTAACAGTGAGATGCATGCATGCATGTACACACGCACTTCTGACCATGAAACTAGATGGTAAGTAAAAAGAGCACTGAGTTGAGTCTGAAAGACCTGAATCCAAATCCAAATTTGTATCTACAGTTCCAAATCCAGAAAGCTCTGAAAAACTCACAGTTTTCTGTAACTCATTTGGAGGTAAAATCTGATCTTAACATAGGTTTTTATAGTCTTTATTCATCTCAGTGTGAATATTCCTATATTTTGCTGCAGAAACGTTAATATGTCTGGATCAGAGGTTGTTGCCCAGCTCCAACTGGGGATATAGATAATACATAGTTCTACACTGTGGAGTTTTGGAAAAGGGATGTGAACTACTGTCTTGTCTTCATCAACTGAAAAAAATGGGAAAAGACTTCATAAACTAAAAATATAATAACTCATGTGAGATGGTCCTAAACAGTTAGGATGTATAATTCTGTATGATGGAGGCACTGAGCAAGTGATTCCTTTTTCAAGGCCAGGAAGAAGATGTTAAACATGTCTCAGGGAAGTAAAATTTGAACTGGGTCTGAAGGGTGAATTGAATTCTCATTTCACAGAGAAGCTATGGAAAAGAATTAGGTGAAGGAAGAGCAATAGAAATTGTGCAGGAAAAAAAAAATGTCTTTAAGCAGCTTGAGCACATGGGACTTTGTCAGGCTTACAGAAAAACTCTTGATTATCTGTCAAATGCAGGAGAGAAGCAGTGCGGATAATATAAAGGACAGCTAGTCTAAAATCCATTTGCTCTACACAGGATTTTTCTTTGGAATCAGACTTGTACATTCACAGAGAAATGTCGCTGTCCTGGCTGACGCCTTCCTGCTTAGTCTGGTGGGAGACTGTGGTGCCTGTTAGTGTCCCTCCTGCTCCCTGACAGGCTGGTGCAGCCAGACCAGCCAGTTCTCTCATTTCACTGCCCTCTGCTGGTCCCTGTCAGCCCTTACCAGCTGGCTTCTCTAGCATCAGATGCCAGGTTCAGATCAGATTAGCCACCTACTACTTTTTAATGGCCTCGAGCAAGTTATTTACCTCTCCTGTGCCTTTGTTCCTCAGCTGTAAAAGCAGAACAATAGTGCAAGCTTTGTAGGTAGAGAAGCTGGCACAGGAAGCACTTAGCAGATGCCTGACTGGTAAGCACTCCGTAAACAGTGGTTACCACTGTGACAAGGACTGCCCTCCTCCGGCTGTGTGATAAATACATACATTCCTTAGTACCTAATCTTATCTTTAAAAGTCCATTTTTATTCTTTCTGCCCCTTTGTCATCAGCTACTTCCAAATTAACCATTTTCTGTGGAGTTTGTCTATTGGTTTTTGCTGCTGTATCTCAATCTATGGTAAGACACGGCCTCCCTTTGACCACGATCCACTATGGGTCCCCAGATCCTCAGGGTTTGCTTGGAGGTAGTGAGAATCTCAAACTAATTTAAGGATGGCAGTGTAAAGCAATGTAAATAAGAGCACTGACTTGAAATGAGATAAACCTGTCGCTTACTAGTTACCTTACCTTGTATAAGTTTCAGAATCTCTGAGAGCTCTGCTTGATAGTATGGGGATGTTCTACTTTCCTCACAGAAGTGTTACATCTTAAATTGGATCTGTATTTAAAGCCTTAGCCCAGGACCAGGTATATAATAAATACCTCATATGTCCTGTCTCCATTATTACTATTAGTACAAAACATTTCTTGAGGCCGGGCGCGGTGGCTCGAGCCTGTAATCCTAGCACTCTCTGGAGGCGAGGGGCGATTGCTCGAGGTCAGGAGTTCGAAACCAGCCTGAGCAAGAGTGAGACCCCCGTCTCTACTATAAATAGAAATTAATTGGCCAACTAATGTATATAGAAAAAAATTAGCCGGGCATGGCGGCGCATGCCTATAGTCCCAGCTACTCGGGAGGCTGAGGCAGGAGGATTGCTTGAGCTCAGGAGTTTGAGGTTGCTGTGAGCTAGGCTGATGCTATGGCACTCACTCTAGCCTGTGCAACAAAGCGAGACTCTGTCTCAAAAAAAAAAAAAAAATTTCTTGAAAATCACACTTTCTTTCTTTCTTTCTTTCTTTCTTTCTTTCTTTCTTTCTTTCTTCTTTTTCTTTCTTTCTCTTTCTTTTCCTTCTTTCCTTTCTTTCTTCTTTCTTTTTTTCTTCTTTCTTTGACAAAGTCCCACTCTGTTGCTGGGGCTAGAGTACAGTGGCTTCATCCTACCTAACTGCAACCTGGAACTCCTGGGCTCAAGCCATCCTTTTGCCTTAGGCTAATTTTTTTCTATTTTTAGTAGAAATGAGGTCTGGCTCTTGCTCAGGCTGGTCTCCAACTCCTAAGTTCAAGCGATTCTCTGGCCTCAGCCTCCCAGAGTACTAGGAATACAGGCATGAGCCACCACGCCTGTCCGAAAATCACACTTTTATCCTAGGATCAAGCTTTACGCTATAATTAAAAGATAGGATTCCTGCAGGAAGTGGGTGGAATTACATCAGCTTAGTGTGGTGATACTGTTGCCTTATGCTAAGAACCTCTGGTTGGTAGTTACATGTGTCTTTGGCAAGTAAAAATGAAGAGAATTATTAATAAGTACATTTGGGCAGACAGAAGCATTGCAAACATGAAGTCTTAGAGGTGTGGAGAGAGAAAAGGAGCCTCTGGTGACTAAAAAGTCATAGGACCCATGGGTCTAGTACAGTGATCAGTGCTATCTGGTTGGCAGATCTCCTTAAAAAAAAACAAAAAACTTTTTTTTTTTTTTTTTGAGACAGAGTCCCACTCAGTTGCCCGGGCTAGAGTGCCATGCCATCAGCCTAGCTCACAGTAACCTCAAACTCCTGAGCTGAAGCAATCCTACTGCCTCAAGGCCTCCGTGGACCTGGCGAACAGGCATGTGCCACCATGCCCGGCTAATTTTTTCTATATATTTTTAGTTAGCCAATTAATTTCTTTCTATTTTTAGTAGAGATGGGGTCTCACTCTTGCTCAGACTGGTTTCTCCTGACCTTAATCAATCCACTGTCTTGGCCTCCCAGAGTGCTAGGATTACAGGCGTGAGCCACCATGCCCAGCAAAACTTTTTTTTTTTAATAACAAAAGTAACACATGGACATTATCATTAAGCTTCAAAGACCCTCTGGCAGGTTTTGCCTATTAAGCGAAGTTTTAGTGGGATAAAGACATTGGTACCATAATGTCCAACCCCCTCAAAGCGAGTTACCACAGACTGCACATGGGAAAAGCTCATGGAAGGGATCAAGTCCAAACCACCCCTTCACTCCATTTTACAAATTGAGAAACAGGCCAAAAGCAGAGCAGAGACTTGGCAGCAAAGGCCCAGCCATCCTCTAGCTCTCTCCCCAGTGTTCTTTCTGACAGACAAGGGTTCTCTAGGAGGGACATTACTCGGGGTGAATCTCAGCCACCCAGGGAGTTCTTTCTGAACTGTGTAGGCCATCTCTCCATTTCCCCACCCTCTCCGCAAGTCATGGAAATGTTTCCTCTCCCCATATGTGTTAGGGGCAACAAAAACCAAACAGGCAGAGGACGGGGGTCTAGCCTAGGTCTCTCAGGTCTGCCCGTTCGTAAGAACTACTGGGGTCCCCTCATCTGGAGGGTCTGGTTCAGGTCAGAGCTGAGCTTGAGAATCCATACGAGTGAGCACACTTGGTGATTATTACAACCAAGCAAGTTTGGGGAAGCACAAGGCTAATCCAGGCCATCAGAGGTTTCCTGTCCCAGAGTATGCAGTGGGGTTGACAGGCCACTAGGGATTATCCACTGGCAGTTAGTGAGGGAGTCAACCTGTATCCTGTGCTAATTTTTTGTAGCACCTCTCTTTTATACCAGAGCCCTAATTCCTGGACACATATGGCAGCTCAAAAATGCTGCCTGACCTACTTTGGGGAGATGATTTAAGCAGAAGACGCCCAGTCTGGCCTGGGTGACATTAACATCTCTCTTTTGGCTTTGTGCTTAGACTGAAGAACCTGGAGCTAGCTGCTGTGGGAGGATCAGACGTCCGTGTGAAGATGCTGGCGGCCCCTATCAATCCATCTGACATAAATATGATCCAAGGTAACCTTGGTTTCTATGGCTTATGTTAATTGGCTTTTTTGCTCAGCTGCTACCTCGTTTTCATTCCTCCTCAGGTGTGGGTGTGAAATTCCTGTGATTAGCAACAGCTGTTCTCCAGATGAGCTGTCTGCAGACTGTGTCAGCCCTCCCTGGCCTTCCTTCTCTGGAATATGAGGCTTTTTGAGAGTTAGGAAGATTGCAGTGGGGAATAAGCCAACCATTGTGAAGTGCCTATGACATGCTGGGTTCATTTTGTATGTTATCTGATTCTCATAATCACCATGAACACTAAAGAGTATTATCCCCCTATACAGACAAGGAACCTAAGGCTCCCAGGTTGGTTAGCCAGACAGCTAGTCAAAGGCAGAGCCCAGATCAGATGTAGGTCTATCAGACTCTGACTCAGTGCTCTTCCACTGCCCAGACTTCATTGGCTGACCCTTTCTGCTCTTTTCGCTCAGGAAACTACGGCCTCCTTCCCAAACTGCCTGCTGTTGGAGGGAACGAAGGTGTTGGACAGGTGGTGGCAGTGGGCAGCAATGTAACTAGGTTGAAGCCAGGAGACTGGGTGATCCCAGCAAATGCCGGTTTGGGTGAGTTTCTCCAGGTGCCAGCAGCCTTTTCGTTTTTTCAAATTCTCTTTCACCCACTCTGTAGACGCCCACACATTGGCTCAGCGTAACTAAGCAGTGCAGGTTTTATTTATTTATTTTTTCAAAGCAAGCTTGAGCTGGGTCTCTGTGAATTAGAACCCAGAAGGTCCTAACCCTGGATTGTAGTGGGAACACAGCAGACAAGAATCTAGTGGGCTCCTATTTTGCTGTCTGATTTGGGGCAAGGGCTTCACTTCTCAAGCTTCAATTCTTTCTGCGTTCCTAAGTGGATAATGTCTGTCTTGCTTCCCTCTTGTAGCTGCTGTGAGGATCCATTTGTATAATGGATGTGCCTCAAAAACTGTCAAGTGCTAAAAAACAAAACTCACCAATGACTTATTATATGTCAAAGAGAATCCTACTCCTTAGGTTGGCTTTTGCAGGGCCTCACCCCATGGGGCCCCAGTCTACCTTTATGACTTACTTTCTCACTCATGCAGTCCTCCCCCATATGCAGACTCTTTGCTAAGGCTACAAGGGATTTTCCACCATTTCCCAATCTCACCTTTGTGTCTTTGCTCCTTTTACTCCTTCCACATGAAATGATTTTTGGCTCATCCCTATCTAACAAAATGTATGCATCAGAGGTCCAGTCCAATGAAGCTTCCTCCATGAGGAATTTCCTGATCCTCCCCCACAACTGTTTCTCTCTCTCATACATACACATGCACACACACAGGAGCCAGAAGTGCCCTCTGCTTCCTGTGAATTTCTAGCACTCCCTCTATTATGGGTTATTGGTTTTGAGATTTTTTCAATGAGATATGAACTTCCTGGATAGCAGGGATATCTTATTTGTACTGTCTTGCCCCATATGGCAGGAATTTAGGGATGTAGGGATGCAGAGAATTATAGGTCCAATCAGCATGGGCCTGAGGAGATGGGAACACAGGTACATCACTCCCAGAGCAAAGAAACAGAATTCTGCTCTGCTAGCTCAGCTCTCACTCCTACTAGAGGCAAGTATATGGACTTAATAATAGGCCAGGTGTGATGGCTCATGCCTATAACCTCAGCCCTTTGGAAGGCTCAAGCAGGAGGATTGCTCGAGCCCTGGAGTTTGAGACCAATCTGCAACAGCAAGACCTGCCTGTACAAAAATTAAAAAAATTAGCTGGGCATGGTTGTGTGCGCCTGTAGTCCAGCTACTTGGGAGGCTGAGGCAGGAGGATCACTTGAGCCCAGGAGTTTGAGGCTGCAGTGAGCTGTGATGATGCCATTGCACTCTAGCCAGGGCAACAGAGTGAGACCCTATGGGAGGGAGAGAGGAAAGGAGGGAAGGAAGGAAGGAGAAAAAAGAAAAGAAAAGAAGGGAAAGGAGGCCGGGCGCTGTGGCTCACGCCTGTAATCCTAGCTCTTGGGAGGCCGAGGCGGGCGGATTGCTCAAGGTCAGGAGTTCAAAACCAGCCTGAGCGAGACCCCGTCTCTACTATAAATAGAAAGAAATTAATTGGCCAACTGATATATATATATATAAAAAATTAGCCGGGCATGGTGGCGCATGCCTGTAATCCCAGCTACCCGGGAGGCTGAGGCAGAAGGATCACTCGAGCCCAGGAGTTTGAGGTTGCTGTGAGCTAGGCTGACGCCACGGCACTCACTCTAGCCCGGGCAACAAAGTGAGACTCTGTCTCAAAAAAAAAAAAAAAAAAAAAAAAAAAAAAGAAGGGAAAGGAAGGGGAAAAAAGAAAAGAAACGGAAGAAGCAGTTAATTTTTTGTGGAACTGGGAAGTGTAAGAGATGGAAAGCTTCAGGTTCAGCTGGATCAAGGAACTCAGTGCAGTCAGAGATCTTTTTCTCACTAATTCTCAGATGGGAATCTTCCCACATAATGATATAATCATAGCAACAGATATTTATTGGCCACTTTCTTTGTGCCATGCATCATTCTAAGTACTTTACATATATTAACTCAATTATTCCTACAACATGAGGTCAATACATTATTATTCCCATTTTGCAGATGAGACAATAATAAATGTAAAGGATTAAGCAACTTGCCTGGGGTTACCCAGCCAGTAAGCGGTGGAGCTAAGATTCAAATCCATTTTGAGACATACCTCTCATAGATGGCCATCAGCAGCCTGAGGTTTATATCATCCTGAGATGTTCTCAGATGAGTACATTCTCCACAGTCACATCCAGCACAATCCCCCCAGAGTGGGCCTTGAACCAATCTGGGAGATGGGTTGGGCTCCAGTTGCTCTGATTGTCTTGCCCACCCTGTGATATAGAAGGTGGGGCCTTGTGGCTGACAGCCCCAGACGTTAGGTAGGAGCACTTGTAGAAAGAAAAAGATGCTAGGCAGAACAAAACAATAACTAGGATCTCCTTCAAGCTGTTTTACTTCTCTTAGATCAGGAAAGCTGTTAAGAATGGCTCTACCCTCTCCTACACCCACCTAGCAGTGAAAGATCCCAGCCATCTGAGCAGATTGAGAGCTGTAAGAATTTACTAGGTACTGATACCAGTGCTTTGGGCCAGCCCCTGTGCAGAGTGAAGGTCACACCAAGATGGATCAGGCACAGTTCCTGCCCTCAGAGTGCTCTTGGCTGGGATGGGTGGCCAGGAATAGAAAAACAACACTTAATACAATACAATATTACAAGTGCTGTAATCACAGATGGGCACACAAAGTCGAGAAGCATTAGAAAAGGCTTCCCAAAGAAGTGATGCTTGAATTCAGTCTGGAAAACCTACTAGAAGTACAGCCAATGGGCTAGGTGAGGAGGGGCTTCCCAGGCAGGGAGCACAGCATGTGCAAGGTAAGGTGACAAGAGAAGGCACAGCACCGTCAGAGAACAGGGAGCTCCGTGTGCCTGGGTCATGGGTGGGAGTGGGAGAGGCGAGATGGAGTTGGAGGGGTTGGCAGAGGCCAGGACATAGCAGGCCTGCATCCACAGGCAGAGGGGTCCCGACAGAGAGTTAAGGAGAGGAATGATTTGATCAGATTTGTGCAATCCAGAGAATGGCTGGAAAGGCAGATGGTGGAGGCAGGAAGCCAGTGAGGAGGTAGGCAAACAGTTCAGGCTTCAAATGACAAAGGTCTAAACAAGACAGTGCCCTGGGCCTGGAGAAAAGGGAGTGGATTCAAGAGGTACTAAAGTAAGACAATTCGGTAATACTTTCAGTTTGGAGAGGAGAAGCATAAAGGACATTTGCAGGTCATTGTATATGTGGTGGTGTTGGCCAGAACAGGGATTCCTCCCTGGAGAAAAGGTGGGTCTTTTAAGCAGCGTGCCAGTTGGATAGGATGAGGATTTTATAATTGTGAGGACTATAATTAACCCAGTGTATTCAGTAAACATTTTGTGAGCACCTGCAGCATGCTGGGATCTGGGGTACAGCAGTGAACAGACATGGTCTTCTTATGGAGACTGCAGTTTAGTAAGAGGGGCAGTCATTAAACACATAAATCCTCAACTGGCCAAATCTTGGTTACTTTTCATGGTACTGAGCTGCCCAGCTGTTGCTGTGCCCATAGCCAGTTTTTTCCCACATGCAGCCAGTCCCAGGGGAGACTGGGCCAGAGAGTGTGGACAGATCTTTGCCAACTGACTTTCTCATTGGAAAACACTCTGAACCTTCCTGACGCAGCACAGGGCAGTAGAAGGAGCACTGGCCTGGGAATCAGATGCAGGTTCTCCTTCCAGCTCCTCTGTATAACCTTAAGTCACAACTATCTTGAGCCTCAGTGTTTTCATCTGTGAAATGGCGCTAATAGTCACTGCCTTGCAAATCTCAATAGACTCTTATACAGCGCAACTGAGGGAACATATGTGGAGATCTTTGCAAATGCTCAACTTCTGTATGCATTAGATCAACTGAAAACTTTTTTCTTAAAGGGCCAAATAGTAAGTATTTTAGGCTTTTGCAGGCTATACAATCTTTGTTGTGACTACTCAACTCTGCCGTTGTAAACAGCGATAGACAGTATGTAAACAAGTGAGCATGACTGTGCTCCAATAAAACTTTATTTACAAAAACAGGTGGTGAGGCCGGGCGCGGTGGCTCACGCCTGTAATCCTAGCACTCTGGGAGGCCGAGGCGGGCGGATTGCTCGAGGTTGGGAGTTCGAAACCATCCTGAGCGAGACCCCGTCTCTACTAAAAATAGAAAGAAATTAATTGACCAACTAAAAATATATATACAAAAAAAAACTAGCCGGGCATGGTGGCACATGCCTGTAGTCCCAGCTACTTGGGAGGCTGAGGCAGGAGGATCGTTTGAGCCCAGGAGTTTGAGGTTGCTGTGAGCTAGGCTGACGCCACGGCACTCACTCTAGCCTGGGCAACAAAAGTGAGAAAAAAAAAAAAAAAAAACAGGTGGTGAACCAGATTTGGCCCACGGGCCATAGTTTGCTGACCCCCACATTAGGTGATGCAGGTGGTTAAGGTCAGTTGCACATGAGTGAGGAATAGATGTCCTCAGAGCTAAGGCCTGGGAATCAGGATCAATAAAGGAAAGCAACATGTGTTATACACCTACTGTGTACCAGACACAGTGATAGTCTCTGTACAAATGCCATTTAGGTTAATCTTCACACCACAACATAAGTGTTACTCTCTACATTTCATAGATCAAGAAAACTGAAACTCAAAAAAAGTGGAGTGATAATGCAAAGTCACACTCTAGTGAGTGGCAGAGCCAGTCTCTCCAACTCCAAAGCCTAAGGGTTTCTACTTGAAACCCTAAAAGCTCTTGTTGGCCAGGCACGGTGGCTCGCGCCTGTAATCCTAGCACTCTGGGAGGCCGAGGTGGGCGGATTGCTCGAAGTCAGGAGTTCAAAACCAGCCTGAGTGAGACCCCGTCTCTACTAAAAATAGAAAGAAATTAATTGACCAACTAAAATATATATATACAAAAAATTAGCTAGGCATGGTGGCACATGCCTGTAGTCCCAGCTACTCAGGAGCCTGAGGCAGAAGGATCACTTGAGCCCAGGAGATTGAGATTGCTGTGAGCTAGGCTGATGTCACGGTACTCACTCTAGCCTGGGCAACAAAGTGAGACTCTGTCTCAAAAAAAAAAAAAGCCCTTGTCAATGACCATGGGCACTGCCCCCGCCCACCCAGACTCTCTTGAGAAGAGGATTAGGGACTGCTAAGCTCCAGAAATCCATGTCAAGGGCCGGATTTCTATTGTTGTGCCATAAAAGGAATTAGAAAACATCCTTGATTTCACGCGTAGGAAGCCCTGCACCAAGCATGTGGTGCAGAGTAGAGTACAGTAAATGTTAGCTAAAATGAATGGGAGAGATGATTGTGAAGATTTGGAGACCAAGCTGAGTGAAGCCCAGAGAATGCCAAAGCACCTCGTGGATTCCTCTGGAATCCTTCCACTTCTCAGTCTCTCATTTTCTCAGCAATAGACCTACTGTGGGATTGACACAGCCCTTAATAAAGAGTGTTCCTGCCTCCCCTCCCCAATTCCTAGTCCCTAAAGCCTACATTGTTTCCCACCTCCTGCAGCACAATTAGTACGATTAGTAATTGCCTAGGTTGCCCCCTACCTCCCATAGCTGGACTACATGGTGGCAGGATACTGTTAGAATCCCAGCAACCGGCTAGTGAGTGGGCATACCCAACTTTGGACATGTAGGCCAAGAGCCCCTGAGACACTGCAGCCACCAGTCTGAGCCAAGAAGGCCCCAAATAATTTCCTTAAGGTGATATGTGAGTGCATAGCGAAGCCAAGGCTGGAGCCTGTCTGACTCCGAGGCCCATCATCTTCACCCCTTCGTCATACAGGATTCTGCCTGCATGAGCTTGGACCTGTCCCTCTCACCTAATCCTCACCAAATCCTGTTGCTTCTGTCTTCAAAACAAAACTCAAATCCATCTTCCTCAACCCCCTGCCAAAGTCCTGGTCTAGGCAGCCATCATCTCGTACCTGGACCCTTGCGAATGCCTCCTGATTGGCCTCCCACTACCACCTGCCCCTCTCCACCCCATAGTCTTTTCTACCCCACAACAAAGTGATTATTTATTTATTTTTTAATTTTTTGAAACAGCATCTCACTCCGTTGTCTGGCTAGAATGCAGTGGCATCATCACAGCTCACTGCAACCTCAAACTCCTGGACTCAGGCGAGCCTCCCATCTCAGCCTCCAAAGTAGCTGGGACTGCAGGCATGCACCACCATGCCCAGCTAATTTTTTTATTTCTTGTAGAGATAGAGTCTCACTATTGCCCAGGCTGGTTTCAAACTCCTGGCCTCAAGCGATGCTCCTGCCTTGGCCTCCCAAAGTGCTAGGCTCTTGGGTACAGGCGTGAGCCACCGTGCCTGGCTGAGTGATCTTAAAGCTTACGGCAGATCAGCCCAGGCTCCTCTTAAAGATCATTAGAGGCCTCCCATTCACTAAAATAAGATCCACTCTCCTCCATACCATGACCGTGAGCCTTGTGTTTCCAGATTACGAGTTGTAGCCCATTAGTTAAATAAATCTAATGGGTTTCAAACAGCATTTTTTTTTTTACTAAAATTGAGCAGAGCAGAATAAAAAATAGAGTATATCACACATGGTAAGAGTAAATATTGTTCTATGAAATGTAGGCTTCTGTTACATGTATATTCATAGAGGTATATTTAGTGATTGACATGGAAGCCATGGTTACTGTGGGGTGCAATCATGAAAGTCTGACGTTCATCTGGCCCTGCCACGTCAGCCACGTCAGCCCCATCTCAAGCTACTCTTCCCATCACTCTTTGCTCTCCCTCCCATGCGGTTCTTCCAGTCCCAGTCTTCTATCTGCCCTGCCTCCGAGTCTTTGCCTATGCTTCTTCTTTGGCATGGACATTCTTTGTGTGCTCGCTGAGTGGTTAGTATCTCTATCTTTTCACTCTTAGCCTGTCACCGCCAAAAGAGCCATTCTTTTTTTTTTTAATTTATTTTTATTTCAGCATATTATGGGGGTACAAATGTTAAGGTTACATATATTGCCCATGCCCCCCCCATTCTTTTTTTTTTTTTTTTTTTTAGATAGAAGCTCGAGTGTGATTTTTTTTTTTTCTTTTCTTTTTTTTTTTAAGACAGAGTCTCACTCTCTTGCCCAGGCTAGAGTGTTATGCCATCAGCCTAGCTCATAGCAACCTCAAACTCCTTGGTTCAAGCAATCCTCCTGCCTCAGCCTCCCGAGTAGCTGGGACTACAGGCATGCACCACCATGCCCAGCTAATTTCTTCTATATATTTTTAGTTGGCCAGTTAATTCATTTCTATTTTTAATAGAGACAGTCTTACTCTTGCTCAGGCTGGTTTCAAACTCCTGACCTTGATGAATCCGCCTGCCTTGGCCTTACAGAGTGCTAGGATTACAGGCATGACCCACCGCACCCAGCCTCAAAAGAGCCATTCTTTTTTTTCTTTTTTTTTTTTTTTTTTGAGACAAAGTCTCACTCAGTTGCCCAGGCTAGAGTGCCATGGCGTCAGCCTAGCTCACAGCAACCTCAAACTCCTGGGCTCAAGCAGTCCTTCTGCCTCAGCCTCCCAAGTAGCTGACACTACAGGCATGCGCCACCATGCCTGGCTAATTTTTTTTCTGCATATTTTTAGTTGGCCAATTAATTTCTTTGTATTTTTAGTAGAGACAGGGTCTCACTCTTGCTCAGGCTGATTTCGAACTCCTAACCTTCAGCGATCCTCCTGCCTTAACCTCCCAGAGTGCTAGGATTACAGGAGTGAGCCACTGCCAAAAGAGCCATTCTTGATTCCTACCTAAAGTAATTGTCAGCCAATTGTCCCATACAAAATAAGTGAGAATCTGAAAAAAAAGAAAGAGAAAGTAATTCTTGGCCAGCATGGTGGTTCATGCCTGTAATCCCAGTGCTTTGGGAAGCTGAGGCAGTCGGATTGCTTGAGGCTCAGGAGTTCTAAGACCAGCCTGGGCAACATAGCGAGACCCCCATCTCCACAAAAAAAAAAAAAAAAAAAAAAAAATAGAAATTAGCCAAGTGTGGTGGCACACGCCAATAGTACCAGCTACTTGAGAAACTGAGGTAGAAGGATCACTTGAGCCCAGGAGTTAGAAGCTGCAGTGAGCTATGATCGTGCCACTGTACTCCAGTGTGGACAACAGAATGAGACCCTGTCTCTAAAAAATAAAAATTAAAAAAAAAAAAGGTAATTCTCTGTTACAGTCTCTTTATAATTTATAATTACTGTATCTGCTTGTTTGTTTTCATCTGTTCTACTCCACTAGAGTGAAAATAGGGAACATGTCTGTGTTGTTCAAGTGCCTGGCCAGACTAGGCACAGGATGTAAGAAGGCAGCCCCAATACCCAGGTTCTAGCTCCAGCTCTGCTTTGGGCAAGTCACTGCCTCAGTTTCCTCCCCCGTTACACGAGGCATTCAAACTCAGTACTTGATAGGGGCCTTCTCAGTATTAACGTTCTCTGATTCTTTTGTCTGGAACTAGAACGTCAGAGGGAGCTTTGTGGTCATTTCTTTTCAGCTTACAGAGTTTTTTCATTTCCCATATCTCATGTGATTTGTACAGTAGCTCTTGAAGGAGGCGAGTCAGGTGATTCCTGCCAATATCATTTACATATTAAACTCTACTTTCATGCATTCCTCCATAATACCACCCATGTCAGGGCAGCCTGCCCTAGATGAGCAGAATGAGGGCTGCGCAGGAGAAGGGCTTCCTCAGCTTCTCTTGCCCTGGTGGTGATGCTACTGCCGGAGTTTGCCTCCAGAGTGCAGTAGTACGAGGTCATTAGCCACCTGCACTGTGAACTTAGCTAAATCTAATGGTAACTCAGAGAAGCAACCACTTCTGAACTGCCGTACCATACTTTTTAAACGGGGGTAACAGTCTACCTTATGTAATTATCATGAGAACTCAAAGACATGAGGAGGAACTTCCAGGTTTTTTTTCCTCTAAGCATTACTCAGAGTCTGCTGTCCTAGATGCCCATCAAGTGAGGAGGGTGAGCTGGGGCTGGGTGTGCAGGAAGGTCCCTCCTTGTGATCCTGGGCTCATCCCCTGACTCAGGAACCTGGCGGACTGAGGCTGTGTTCAGCGAGGAAGCACTGATTGGAGTTCCAAGTGACATCCCTCTTCAGAGTGCTGCTACCCTGGGCGTTAATCCCTGCACGGCCTATAGGATGTTGGTGGACTTCGAGCAGCTGCAGCCAGGTAAGGACCTGTAAGTGGGAGACCAGGCCCGGTCTCCCGACTGGGGTGAGACCCAAATCCTAACCCTGAGGCCATGGGAACTTGCCGGTGAGGGGTCTGCAGGGGTGATGGTCCCCTAACCTGAGTGAGTGTGTTGCTGTAGCTTTCACTTAGAAAGATGTTAGCTTGGTTCCTAGAAAACATGCTGAAACCTCATGAGGAGTACGCTCTTGAAAACTGCTAAGGGGTCACATTCCCTAAAGCTTGGGATGGAATTCTGTCACTCAGCAAAAATGTGTTGAGCTGTGCTAAACTCTAGGGACACAAAGCCAGACAAGACAGGCACAGCCTCTGTGTTTTCAGTAAAACGCTGAACTTAGTGTTAATAATCCCACTCAGCATTTACGTAGCACTTTCCAGTTCACATAAGCGCCTTCACAGGCATTATCCCCACTGGGTGCATTAAATCTTCAAAGCAGTGCAGGGAGGTCGCCATCACCACTGGTTAAGACGTCAAGCCCCAGGCAGACAACCCAGGTCTGACCTCAGGCTTCACCTTTCCCAAACTGTGAATTCACCTCTCCCGTCATCGGATTTTTGCTTCTGTGAAGTGGAGAGTAAAGAGCTCTGGGGTTCCTGGAACACTGCACATAGCACGTAGCACAGTGCCTGGCATACACAGTGCAGCTGCTTTTATTCTTCTTCCTTTTTATACACGGGGAACCTGAGGTCCAGAGAGGTAAACTATTTGCACAAGATCACTCAGCGAGTAAATGACAAAGCCTGGTCTTTTGTTGGGGCTCTCGTGAAAGCAGAGCCTGAGAGCAGGACTGGGCGCAGCGTTTGGGCAGTGACCCCAGGAAGCAGGAGTGAGCCGAGTAGGGAGAGCCTGTGAAAGCTCGGTACTGTGCTGGGCAACTATTACTCAGTCCTGCTGGGAGCCCTCTGAAGGTCCTCACCGAACCCGCTGCAGAATTAACCCTTGAACGACAGGAAGCCGAGCCAGTCTTCCACCGACTCTCATCCCCCACTGCTCGACTCTCATCCCCCACTGCTCGAGGGTTGCCCCTAGGGCCAATGACCTCCTGGGCTTCCCCTGCACACTGTGCACATCTGTGAGCTGGCAGGGGCTGCAGAAATCACCCAAGCTGCCTCTGTCACACCAGTGAGGAAACTGAGGCCAAGAGCTGTTGGAGGATGATGAAATTGGGTGACTAGCCATTGCTCAAGGCCTGGCTAAAAGCCTATCCCAGCTTCCCACAAAGGGAAACACAGGTTCTCTCCACTGTGGCAGAGAGGTCCTGGGAGCCTTCAGTGGAGAGAGCCAATGGGTATGACCAGGACTTTTGCTGGAGCCCTAGTGCAGCAGACACTTTGGTCACCTGCGTCTCATCCACTTAAGCCACCTTTGATTTGGGCTGCAGCTGTGGTGGGCAGATCTGAGTGTTCTGACACCACCCAGCATAAGTGCCCCCTGTGCATCTCTCTACTTTTCTGCCTCAGCGCTGATGTGGTATGAGCTAGATCAGTGTTAAACAAACTTAGGATCTTGACTCATAGTAAGAATTACATTTTACATTATAATCCAGTATATACATATATGAAGATATATATTAATATAATGGAAACCAAAGTTTCTTGGAACAATATTTACCCTTCCTATGTACAATGATGCACTGTTAATTTTTATTCTCCTCAATTTTAACTTTAAAAAAGGGCTGCTTGCAACCTACTAGATTGCGTCATAATCCACTAAGGGGTGACATCCTGTATGCTGACCGCTGGCTAAGGAAAACAGGCATTCTTTTTCCAGAAAGTCCTCTGCCTCTAGTTCTGGCCCACTGTGCAATCCCTGCTGCCTCTCAAAAACTAGATATCATTTCAAAGTTAAGAGAACACTTTCCTAGGTGTGATGCATTTCATTCTCATGAGGGGCTCCCTGTTCGATGTTCCTAGGACTCCTGTTTTATGGGGAGGAAACTGAAGTTCAAAAAGGTCATGATTTGCCCCATCTCATTTAATTACTTACAGTCATTGGTGAAGCTGGGACTCACACCCAGGTCCATCTCATTCCAGAGCCCATATGCCATACTGCCTTCCCCATTGGCTGATTCCAAGGTTAAACCTGGGCTCTGACCATAAAACTGTTAATAGGACCCTGTTTCAGTGGCTGCCAGTTTGTCCAGTGTGGCTCTAATACCATTTCAAGGCAGTGCCCCTTTATTAAACAGTGCAGAGGGGAATAAGGCATGGCCCTTCCCTCAAGAAGCTGCAAGATATTGATGGAAATGGACCTGTATCCGAGCAAGTGTAAGTGAAGGCAGGCCGTGGCATTAACAGAGAACCCCAATGGCACTGTGGGCGCATGTAGAGGGAAGAATCCAGGAAGCTTCACAAAGGAAGGCACACTTGAGCTGTGCTTCAAAGGATATATAGGATTTCAAAAGGAATGAAGAGAGAAGGAAGAAAACATTGGAAACTAAGGAAATAACCTAAGCAGAGACTTGAGGACATAAAAGTTGGGAAGATGATGGAGGATATAAAACCTTTTACACAGCAGGGTCTAAATTATGTCCACTGTAGTTGCTGAGTCGCCAAGTCCTGGGAGGCATCGTGGGTTTTGTGGAATTTTAGGAGGTGCCAGGGAAATAGTGAGCACAGTGCAAGGTCTGAGGCAGCTCAGCAGCTGGGGTCTTGGGCCCTGTTGAGCCTGAGGACTCCCATCTCTTGCTCTATAATAGGATCCCAGGCTGGGAACCCTTGACTCATTACAGAGCCACAGGGCTTGACTTGGGTCTCTTCCTGGCTCCACAGGGGATTCTGTCATCCAGAATGCATCCAACAGTGGAGTGGGACAAGCAGTCATCCAGATCGCTGCAGCCTTGGGCCTGCGAACTATCAACGTGGTCCGAGACAGGTACGTGGGGAGTCTAATCCCAGACGGCGACTTGGGCCTTTCCACTTCACCTGCCCATGTGGCCACCAGATGGCGCGCTTGCACAGCCATAGACTGGCGCCTTCATGGTTCACTAATCGCTGGCGGCCGAGACAGATGAGTCAGCCCCGAGGAATGAAGTCCAGGTGGCTTTTGGCTATAGGATGAGTGAATCTGAAATGTAAAGAGAGGGCAAGAAGGAGGTGGAAACTGCCCTTACTGAACAGCTAAGAGTTTTTGAGACTCTTGACTTGAGACAACCTCCTGTTTTCAAAACCACAGTTCATATTTGGGAATGTTTGGAACTATATTATTCTTTGTGTGAACTGTCTGACTCAAGGCCCTTTCTTTTCCCTTGCATTTGTGTGGTCTTTTGAAGTGCACTAAATATAGATGTGAAGGAGAGGGGGCAGGTTTGTCAAGTTTCAGAGAGAAGAAACAACTTGCTCGTGAAGACGCAGCAAGTCAGAGGCAGACTATTTCCTCACTTACTCTGTTTCCATCATATCATCCAGTTCCTTTAAGCCTCATTGTCCACGAATGTGTCTGTGTCTGTCTTGGACGTCCAGTCTTAGTAGGAGAATTAATACTTGCTTCAGTTCCCCATCCCCTCAGTGTGCTAACAAAAATTATTCTGCTTGCCTTAGCCAAAGAGGCCCAGAGCCATTCCTGGGCTACAGTGTTTGCACAACACTCAGAAGAGCCCCTTGAAAAGAGGGGGCAAAGGAAGTGGAGTTTATCATTTCAGTAGAAGAAATCAGGAAGTGAAATGACTTCTCAGTGGCACACATGGTTTCTAGCATCCTTGAGCTGGCAGGGGCTGTAGAAACCACCCAGTCTAGCTCTCTTGTGCCTGAGAGGAAACTGTTGGAGCCTGATGAAATTAGGTGGCTCATCCCTGCTCAAGACCTGGCTGGAACCCAATCCTAGGTTCGTGCAAAAAGAAACGTGGGTTTACACAGCTATGGGGAGGAGAGAAAGCCAGCAGGTGTGACCAGGGACCTTGTATTGTGTTTGGTTTCCAGACCTGACATCCAGAAACTGACCGACAGACTGAAGAGTCTAGGGGCTGAGCACGTCATCACAGAGGAGGAGCTAAGAAGGCCTGAAATGAAAAACATCTTTAAGGTACCTAGGAGACCAGGTGCGGTGGCTCACACCTGTCATCTTAGCACTTTGGGAGGCTGAGGTGAGAGGATTGCTTGAGTTCAGGAGTTTGAAACCAGCCTGTGCAAAAGCAAGATCCCGTCTGTACTAAAAATAGAAAATAAATTAGCCAGGCATGATGGCACATGCCTGTTGTCCCAGCTACTCAAGAGGCTGAGGCAGGAGGATCACTTGAGCCTAGGAGCCTGAGGCTGTAGTGAGCCATGATGATGCCATTGCGCTCTAGCCCAGGCGACAGAGTGAGACTCTGTCTCAAAAAGAAAAAGAAAGCTGGGACCTGGCCCCATCATTCCTCTCTGAAAACCTTCTCCTCTTCTGGGACAGGCAAAGCCCATTCCCCTTAGCTGGGAGCAACATCAAGTGCCCAGATGCTGTGAAGGAGGCAGGAGAAACAGAGTTTAGGAAACCCCGTATGATTTGCAGTTTTAAGCATTTGTTGTGTCACAGTGGGTGTGACTCTCAGAGCTAGGAGAGGACCTGGGGAAACAGAGGCACAGAGAGGGAAGAGAAAGAAAAGAAGTAACGTTTCCTAAGCACCTGCCTTACATTGTATCTGATAATCCCCACAAAAGCTCTACAAAGGAGCTGTTATCTGTTTTATAGATGAGGAAACCAAGACTCAGAAAAGATAAAGGACTCGACCAAGACCACATAGTTATAAGTGGTAGAGTCAGGGCTGGCTTCAGGTTTCTCTGAACTCAAAGCCTCTTAACCTTCTAAAACACCTACCCCCAAGATGACTAGGAGGTGACCAAATCCTGTCAGCCTGTTTGCACTGAACTATCTGGAAGGACCAAAGACATATACTCGCTCAAAAACATATGCCTTGGCCGGGAGCGGTGGCTCACACCTATAATCCTAGCTCTCTGGGAGGCCAAGGCGGGCGGATTGCTCAAGGTCAGGAGTTCGAAACCAGCCTGAGCAAGAGCGAGACCCCATCTCTACTATAAATAGAAAGAAATTAATTGTCCAACTAATATATAGAGAAAAAATTAGCCGGGCATGGTGGCGCATGCCTGTAGTCCCAGCTACTTGGGAGGCTGAGGCAGGAGGATTGCTTGAGCCCAGGAGTTTGAGGTTGCTGTGAGCTAGGCTGATGCCATGGCACTCACTCTAGCCTGGGCAACAAAGTGAGACTCTGTCTCAAGAAAAAAAAAAATATGCCTCTTACAAACTCTGAAGCTGTAGATCAGCACTGCTTATTATTATTAAACTGAGTCATAAGTACTGAGAAAAGGTGCACTCAGGGAGCTGGAGTCCATTGAAACTGAACATAAATGCCCTTTGCCTATTCTTTCCCAGAGGAACTGAGTTTTGAACCAAGTTCTGAAATGGACAATAGGAAAGACCCCTGCTGCACAGAGGAAAAAGGGAGTTTGAAGGCATAAACATCCCACTTTCTTCACTCCCTCCACCTAACATAGCCCCTGGGCCAGGGAAGTACATTGGGCAAGCTTTAGACCCCGCATGTAGAGAGGTGCCTCCCTCACTGCAGGTTCCTTATTTTCCAGGATGTGCCCCAGCCACGGCTTGCTCTCAACTGTGTTGGCGGGAAGAGCTCCACAGAGCTGCTGCGGCACTTAGCGTAAGTCCCTCAGCCCTGCAGGTCCAGCTCGCTGGAGTTCTCCAGATCTTTAGCTGGGAGGACCATCAAGTGACCAAGTCCCAGTGGCCAATGGCAGTCAAGGCCAGGTCAGCACAACATTGAATAGGAACAAAGTCATCTAGCTATCTGGGCAGTTAATTCTCAGCCTCTCTTTTGTAGATGACTGAGAGGTCTGTCCAGCTTTGTTTTTCCAAGGGCCCCCAGAAGTAGATTGCTAAAGTTGTCTGCAATAGGGAAATGGCCAAGGATTCATAACCTAGGGCATTTAAAAAAGTCACTTAATCCTAGCTTATTAGCTTTTAAATTTTGTATTAGTTTAAAAAATAGATTCTAATTTTAGAGGTAACATCATGCTTATTACAAAACATTTTGAAAGCATGTAAAAGTACAAAGACAAACCTAAGCATAAAAGTTACCTATCATCCCACCACTAAGGGAGATAAGCACAGTTGACAGTGTTAACGATACGTCCTTCCATTCTTCTTTCCTTTAATATAAACTTCTGGATCTAGAGGGTGGTCTGAAAAGACACTTCCCGACAAAAGCAGCAATCCCCTCAACAACACTGATTCAGTTAACACGTATGTGCAAGCACTCACTAGCTACCAAGTGCAGAGATGGCTGGGACACTAAGGTAACCTGAGAACTCATAGGCTAGACGGGCAGGTGAGTCACATGGCCAAAGAGCTGTTGTGAGAATCACTGAGCATTGACCATGTGCCAGACCATGTGCAGTGCTTGACCTACTCCTCCCACAACCTCTAGAGGTCAGGTACTAGTCTGGTCTCCATTTTATACTTAAAGAAAATGAGGCCCAGAGAGGGCAAGTACTTGGCCCAAGGTCTAGTCAGCAGTAGAGCCAGGCTTGACCCAAGTTTGCCTGACTCCAGAGCACACCTCTTCAGCCCTACCTCAGGTAGCCTCTAGAGACTGTGTCATGTCACCGTGGATGAAGCATTGTGCGGTGGTTCCGTGTGTAGGCATTAGAGTCAGAATGGCTGGGTTCAAGCCCCAGCTCTGCTACTTACTAGCCAAAAAGCTCGGTAATACATGAAAAATGATCCAGGCCTCAGTCCCTTCATCTGTAAAATGGGGGTGAGATAAATCCCTTCTGCCTCTGAAGGTTAATCCAAGGAACACTAAGACAATGTACAAATCACTGTACAAATGGGCTTCAGTTTCAGCTTTCTCCTCTGCAAGATGAGGACATTAGAAGTGCTCCCGACCAGGTGCGGTGGCTCATGCCTGTAATCCTAGCACTCTGGGAGGCTGAGGCCAGTGGATTGCTCAAGGTCAGGAGTTCAAAATCAGCCTCAGCAAGAGTGAGACCCCTGTCTCTACTAAAAACAGAAAGAAAGTAATTGGCCAACTAAAAATATATAGAAAAACATTAGCCGGCATGGTGGCACACGCCTGTAGTCCCAGCTATTCGGGAGGCTGAGGCAGCAGGATCGCTTCAGCCCAGGAGTTTGAGGTTGATTTGAGCTAGGCTGATGCCACGGCACTCTAGCCCAGGCAACAGAGTGAGACTGTCTCAAAAAAAAAAAGTGCTCCCTTGGGGTTGCTGTGAGGATTCACAAGACAACACATGTAAAATGCTTAGAACTGTGCCTGGCACATAGCAGACATTCAATACATGTTAGCGAGTCTGATTAGACCAAGTGCAGTGAGGACACAGAGGAGAGAGGGCCCTAGTTCCCAGCAGCTACTTTCTAGAGCAGGTGGCAGTTGAGGGGTACTTAAGACCAAACCACCCAGCAGCCTTGGGGATAGTTATGTGCCCCACATAGCAGCTTCTTCTACTTGGTAGTTTCCAAAGTCTTCCTTGTGTTGTCCCAAAATGTGCCTAAGGTCGTCCTTGATCAACAGACTCTTAAGGCCAGGCGCTGTGGCTCACGCCTGTAATCCTAGCTCTCTGGGAGGCCGAGTCGGGCGGATTGCTCAAGGTCAGGAGTTCAAAACCAGCCTGAGCAAGAGCGAGACCCCAGTCTCTACTATAAATAGAAAGAAATTAATTGGGCCAACTGATATAATATAGAAAAAAATTAGCCGGGCCATGTGGCGCCGATGCCTGTAGTCCCAGCTACAGCCTGTAGTCCCTCGGGAGGCTGAGGCAGTAGGATCGCTCGAGCGCAGGAGTTTGAGGTTGCTGTGAGCTAGGCTGACGCCACGGCACTCACTCTAGCCTGGGCAACAAAGCGAGACTCTGTCTCAAAAAAAAAAAAAAACCAGACTCTTAAAAGTGCCAGGGAGTAGTCTAGCTTATTAGCTTCTAAAAATTCTATGAGCCTTATTCCTGTTGGACTGCTACTGGGTGGTGGGGGCTGGGGCATCAGAGAGTAGGTACTAACAAGGCACCTTCTGTGGTGAGAGGACACTCGTCTTTGTCCCCTGCACTGTCCACATCATGCCTGTCTGTAGAACCGTTTCATTGCGTTGACCCTCAGAATGGGCAGGCGAGGTCTGGTCTGTTTTCAGTGCTTTGTCCAAGGTCCACGTTCCTGTAAGTGGGAGTGGAGCCAGGGCTGAACTCAGCTCTTGAGCGCTTCTCCGTAGAATGTGTTTCTTTGGAACACTTAAAGCCTGGCTGTGTGGGTTAGATCAGTGGGTTCCCAAGCCTGGCTGAATATCCAAGTCATCTGGATGGCGGGTGGGGCGGGTGTGGGTGGGGGGCTATGTGTGGTGTTTTTAATATACATTCTTGCCTCCTGATTCATTAGGTCTGGGGTTAGGCCTAATAATCTGTATTTTTGAACCCTTCCCAGCAAGGTTTAGGACTCAGGGTTGGAATAGACAGGTTCAAGAAGGGCTCTGTCTCTGCGCCCACTTTTTGTTCTCTTCGGACTCCTCAGGCCTGGAGGAACCATGGTGACCTATGGGGGGATGGCCAAGCAGCCCGTCGTAGCCTCTGTGGTAAGCCGGTGGGGGAGGCCTGCCTGGAGACAGGGGCCGGACACCTCAGCTGGGTAAACTCAGGCGATGCCCCTGTCCCTTGGGGGGAATCTGTGTCCTTAAGTGGTGCCTGAAGCTCTTGCCCTCAGAGCCCAGTATGTCCTTCCTGTGTCCACAGAGCCTGCTCATTTTTAAGGATCTCAAACTTCGGGGCTTTTGGCTGTCCCAGTGGAAGAAGAACCACAGTTCAGGTGAGTGGACAGCACCAATGCCAAGGGTCACAGGAAAGGGCAGTGCCTAAGAATGGCTGCAGAAGTGACTAGCCACTCTGAACCCCAGAGAGGTGACTGGGTCCCCAACCCCACAACAGGATCCAGGCAAATAGCCTCTAGCCCCCGCTGCAGTCAGCAAATAGTTATTGGACTAAACTGGGTTAGTCCTTGGGGGTACAATATAGAACAAGACAGACACTGTCCCTGTCCTGAAGAGCTGACAGTGGAGAAGACAGCGGGTAAAGAGGACAAACTCTAGGGCCAGCCTGCCTGGGGTCAAATCCTGCCTCCACCATTACTCGGTAGAGGTTCTACCCAACCTCAGTGGTGGGTCCTTGGGCAAGTTTCTTAGTCTCTGCCTCAGTTTAAACATAAGTTTAAACTCGTTAGCCCCTTTTGACAGAGGAGAACATTGAGGTTCAGAGTGGTTAAGTAGCCTACCCAAGGTCACCCCCCTAGGGAGTGGTGCAGCCAGGATGTGAACAGTCTCTCTGACTCCAGATCCCAAGTCAGGATACCGTGCTCCTCTCCTGGAGGACTGGCTCCCCAGAGTGTGACCCCAAGCTGAGAATGAAGAGCCACATGGAGCTACCCAAGTGAAGGGGGAGAAAGTGCTAGTGTGAGTGGTGGAAAACACAGCCCATGCAAAAGCCCATCACAGACAGAGAGCACAACTCTCCAGGCACCCAGGTGGTTCTGAGCGACCTGGAGCATTAGGTCTGAGCTGGGGCTGGGAAGCTGGACAGGTGGGTTGGGACCAGATTACACACTTAAAGCATTCAAACTCTATCTTCAGGGCAATTGAGGAGCCACTGAAGTGTTTTAAACAGGAAATGTTATTAGATTTGAAGGCTGAATGAATTTATATGTATGAAGAAACACTTCTCAGCCAATGCCTTCACTTCTCATCTTCCTGTACCATTTCAGGTCCTTAGCAGGAGGCAGGACAGGGAGAGAATGTTGATGGCCTCACGTTGTGGGGTTCTGGGAGTCCTGGGCTCTCCGAGAGAGCTCTTTTCCCTGAGCAAACCGCGTTCTGTTCCACATCAGCTGGTGTGCCAGGCACACCCACCTCCCTCCCTGTGCCTCTTCCGGCTTCCCTGCCTCAAAGTAATCCTGCCCCTCCCACCATTCAGCACCCTGGCTGCACCCAGTCAAGCTCTGTGGGCCTGAGCCATCTCTGCCTGCCCACGCCTATCAGCTCCCAGGGCCACTTGCCACGTTCCTCTGTCCCCACCCTGGCCTTCACTGTCCTGAACACAGTCAGGGACCAGGCTGCCTCCACAGCCAGCCTATGCTTGGCAAAGCCAGGCTCTTAAGGCTTTCCAGGAGCTGTGACCCTTCCTGCCCACAGGGCAGCCATGTGCCATCTCAGCAAGCCCCAGTGGCTAGTCCCCTGTCTGACTTCCTCCAACCTCCCACAGACCAGTTCAAGGCGCTGATCCTCACCCTTTGCGATCTCATCCGCCAAGGGCAGCTCACAGGCCCCGCCTGCGCCGAAGTCCCACTGCAGGACTACCAGCATGCCTTGGAAGCCTCCATGAAGCCCTTTGTGTCTTCAAAGCAGATTCTCACCATGTGATCATCCCAGAGGAGCCAGAGCCAAGTAGGAGGGGAGGCTGGTCAGCGGGACGAGTTGCAGGCCCTCAGTTGGGGCCCAGCCCTCCCCAGACTGCTCCTCCCTCACTGCCTCTTCCTCTTAGGAAGATTGTGCAGGCAGCCAAGGCTTTCCCCAGGGCCAGCCTTAGGGGACCTAATAAAGTCTGAACTTCGTAAAAATAAAAAAATTTAAAATAGAAGTCACCCCTGTCAAGGAGGACTGTCACTGTGCACCTGCCATCTCACAGCACTAAGAAGCTCCTGCCTTGCTTTTCCTTGTTTTGTCCCCCCAGCAGTCATTTCCTGACCACCCTGAAAGCAAAGCCTGGCTGGGCACTGGCAGGTGCAGAAGCCAGTAAGTGGCAATCCCTGCCCACAAACAGTATGAGCCCAAACAGGAGACTCATAGAAAAGAAGGTCTGGCTCACTTCTCAGGTAGTGTGCCACTCAGTCCTGGGGATGGGAAATCAGCTGCAGGGAAGAGTGATTGTCAGGGCCAGGTCATCAAAGCCCTGAGGAACTACGCACATGGGGTCTCAGGTAGCTGGACTAGCAGTTCTCAATCAGGCAGTTTTACCCCCTGGGAGATATTTGACAATGTCTGGGGACTATTTTTTTTTGAAGTCCCAACTTGCAGGGGGGATTGCTACTGGCATGTAATGGGCAGAAGTCAGCGACACTATTAAACATCCTACAGTGCACAGAACAGCCTCCCACAACAAAGAAGTATCCAGCCCAAGTGCCACTGCCACAAAACTGCATTGAACAGTCCTACATCGATTACCTGGTGATTAGCGCTGTAAAGAAGACATGTCGGAGGTACTATGAGAGTGTAACTTAGGTCTCGTTCTAGGCCTGGGGTCGGGAAAGGCTTCCTTGAAGGTGAACCCTGACTAATGAGTGGGCTTTATTCAGGCAGAGAGAAGAATTTGACATTATGTGACTTTTTGGTGTTTGCTTCATGATCCACTTGCCCAAAGCAAAGAACAGAGACTTTGGGATATCGCCCTTGTTACCTGGCCCTCGTTGAGGGAGTACTTATTGAGTGCCTGAAGCTGTGATTGCCAATGAAAGATACGCTGCTGCCCTCGAGTTGCTTAGCCTAGTGCAAGAGACAGACATCACTGCAGACAGTGCAATGATGAGGTCGCTGATACCGAGGTGTTCGGAGGGCTGTGGCAGGACCCGGGCCCCAGCTCTGCCTGAGGGTGTCAAGGAAGGATTCCCAGAGGAAGCATTATCCACAGCAAATTCTGGAAACCAAGCAGGAAAATGCGTCCCAACAAAGCCAACAACAGTGAGAGAGTTTGGAGGCGAGTGCAGCTGCTCCCTGAGACATGGCAGGAATGCGAGAACTGAGGTGAGCTGTGGGCAGGGGTCAGATCACAAAGGGTCACAAAGGGAGTCTGACTTACCCTGAAGCCCTCGGGAGGCACTGAGAGATTTTAAGCAGTGGAGTGATGTGGAAAAACTGGCTCTGGAAGGTTTAATTGCATGCGAGTGTGTACGCAGACTCCCAGCATAATCATCGTGCCTTTGGGAGCATCTTGTGCTCCTCTGGAGAAAAGGACGCACTCCAGCCTGGGGCTGAGAAGGATCCGCAGTGCTCTCTGGGTAAAATTTGCCACTTTGTCCACCTGGGCTCCGGATCAGCCCCAACTCCTTCCTGCTCTCCTATCCTCTATCCTCTAGGTTAGTGGGACAGGTGATTTGTACAGATGGTTAATGTGGGCAAGTGAAAACAGCCTGAGAGGGAGAGAAGGCTGCCCCAAGGCTACAGCAGAAGTTAACATTAGGTTTTTCAAGGGGAATCCACAAGTTGGAGGTTAAAAGGAGCGATGAACCTGTGGCCACAGTGAAGGAGCAGGTCCCTGGCACTGTCTCCTCAAGGAAGCAAACAAGAGGGAGGAAGGTTCATAACACCATGTTTAGAGACCTCACGGCATAATATACAAAATGTCCTGAGAACTGGTGAAGGGAATTATTCATTGCACCTTTAGGGGTCTGGAGGTGCCATTTGGCTGGTCTTTTTATTTATTTATTTATTTTTGGAGACAGAGTCTCGCTTTGTTGCCCAGGCTAGAGTGAGTGCCGTGGCGTCAGCCTAGCTCACAGCAACCTCAGACTCCTGGGCTCAAGTGATCCTCCTGCCTCAGCCTCCCAAGTAGCTGGGACTACAGGCATGCGCCACCATTCTCAGCTGATTTTTTCTATATATATTAGTTGGCCAATTAATTTCTTTCTATTTATAGTAGAGATGGGGTCTCACTCCTGCTCTGGCTGGTTTCAAACTCCTGACCTTGAGCGATCCACCCGCCTTGGCCTCCCAGAATGCTGGAATTACAGGCATGAGCCACCAGGCCCAGCCTTGGCTGGTCTTTAAAGGATGATTTTAATTTACTAGGGGAAGAAAGTCAAGCATTACAGACTAAAAGACCATATTAAGAAAACTTATAGGCCAGGTGCGGTGGCTCACGCCTGTAATCCCAGCACTCTGGGAGGCCAAGGTGGGTGGATCGCTCAAGGTCAGGAGTTCGAAACCAGCCTGAGCAGGAGTGAGACCCCCATTATCTACTAAAAAATAGAAAGAAATTAATTGGCCAACTAAAAATATATAGAAAAAGTTAGCTGGGCATGGTGGCGCATGCCTGTAGTCCCAGCTACTCAGGAGGATGAGGCAGGAGCATCACTTGAGCCCAGGAGTCTGAGGTTGCTGTGAGCTAGGCTGATGCCATGGCACTCTAGCCCAGGCTACAGAAAACTTATAGAGACAGGACATTGATGTCAGAACCTTCTCATTTTCCCCAAATATCCATTGTCTTCCTTAAAATTAAAGTCTGTGACTTTTAGGTGGGCACATGGTAGGCTGGAATAAATACAATATTTCCCTGCATCCCTTGCAGCTAACAAGGTCTGCCCCACATTATGTGAGCAGAGGTGTTAAGTGTCAGTTTGTCAGGAACCTCTTTCAAATATAGTTGGCATGCATCCTGTACTTTTTCTTCACCTTCCACATGGCTGGGATACAGACATGATTCCTGGAGTTTGTACAGCCATCTTTGACCATGTTAAAAACAGGACAGCAGCAAGATCAAAGCCTGGTTCCCTGACACCCAGAGCTCCACCTGCCTACCTCAGGACTATAGTACATGAGAAATAAGCTTCTGTCTTATCTAAGCCCCTAATATTTGGAGTTTCACTGAACCTAATCCTAAGTGATACAAATTCATTGATTAACTTATATTGAAATCAAGTCAATCAATCTGAAGTGGATTGTGGCAGTTTACGATTTCTAGCTAAGGAATCTGGACTTTATCCTGTTGACAGCAGGGAACAAAACATTTCTGAGCCAAAAGATCAGAACTGCGCTTTGGAAAAATCCCTCTGGCAACAGGTTAGGGGACGATTTGGAGGAGGGAGGAACTAAAAAAGGGGACAATCAGAGACTCCCAGCCTCTGAATTTCAGATAAGTAAACCCACTCCCTGCTTCTAAATTTCCAAGACCAATTAGGGGTTGCCAACTTTTAAGAGGCCAGCAGAGGTAAAGGGAACTGAGACAGAACATAATGTTAAAAGAGAATCTGACTTAAAATCATCTCTTCTGTTCTTTACAAGTGCAGAAGATTGTTTTTAATTTTAAGACTCAATAGTCTCTGTGGAGTTGGAACAGCTCTTCTGGCCCATTAAGTAAACAACATCATTTTTAAATGGCTAAAGGAAGAACCCTTGGCTCCAGGAAATTAAAAGAAGACAAAGAGGCATAACCTCCTAAATCAAACCTTGAGCACACCTGAAGTCCTGAGGCTTCATGACTCTGCTCCCTCTCTTCTAGCACCACCCACCTTGTGACTACCTAGAGCCACTGCCATAATATTGACGAATGTCTTATGTCTTGGGAGATCAGGTAATTAAGCCCGATTTCCTCAGGGGAAGACAAGCCCAGAAGAAAAAAGTTCTTACATTAACCTGTGTGTGCCAGGCATTGCTGTCCTTGCGCATAGAAACTCAAAGCAACACCTGCCGGCTCCATGCTTAGTGGCAGCTGCCATGGACACTGGGTCCAGCCACAGCAGCTAAAAATGGTGCAGAAGAGAGGCTCGGTCCTGACACAGCATCTGCCTGCATCTGGAGGCAGGAACATTCCTGGGAAGACAGCAGGGCTAGCCTAAAGGTAAGAAGGAGACATTGGCACCTTCTGAAAGGGAAGAAAGAGGCCTGCCTTATGCCCATAACTTTTCACAGTATACGAGCACTTCCATACATGCATCTTCATTTGATTTTCATACCTTTCCCATATCATTGAGATGTTAGTTATCACCACTTTACAAAAGCAACAGCTGCTGAGAGAGGTGAAATGAGTTGTTCCAGATCACACAGTAGTTGGCAGAGCTGGCTTTAGAACCTAGGTCCCCTGGCCCTGTCTGGTCACCAAACCAGACAGTCCCAATTCTTCTGGCCCCACAGTTGGCCTTGGAGCTCCCTTTATCCTCAGGACTTCTTGATATTGTTCTTGACATGTGAACTGTCATTGACATGTCAACAGGAAGAGTTCAAATTTCCCTGAGTCTCAAAAAAAAAAAAGGAGAATCAAGAGGCCATTGAAGTAATCCAGGTAAGAGATCATTCATTTATTCATTCAATAAATATTTTAAACACTCATTATGTGAAAGGCACTGTTGTAGGTATTAGGGATACAGCAAGAGACAAAAAATATGGCCCCTGTTACCAGCACAATTACATTCTAGTGGAGGAGAAAGACAATAAACAAGGTAATCACAGACGATATAGTGAGTGCTATGAAATATCATAATGACAGAAGCTATTTGAGATAAGGTGGGCAAAGAAAGCCTGAGGTCTGAATAAGAAGGAGACAGCCTGAGTCAAGACTGGTGAATGAAAAGAAAATAAAAGAAAGAGCCAGCCATATTCCAAGCAGAGGAGGCAGCACATACAAAAGCCCTGATGTATCTATCAATAGTATGCGGCCTCAACTAGGTCAAGAAATGGGAATGGAGAGAAGTGGCTGAATTTATGAATATTTAGAAGGAAGAATCCAAAGAACAGACTCAATGTGGTGGTTGCAGGTTGAACTTTGGCACCTTGCTGGATGGAGGTGCCACTCCCTGAGTTAGGGAATTCAGGAAGAGGAAGCAGATTTTGGAGACAGGCATTTCCCCTCTGTGAGGCTCTTCTTCTCATCTGTATAATAGGTTGATCAGACCGTAACAACCAAGGTTAATTCTAATTCTTAAGAATGTTATCATCCTCAGACTTTGTTGAATTCCAAATGGATTAAAGATTGCAATAGGGAGTGTATATTCAGGGCAACTTCATGCTATGCTCCTGGGTGGCCATTCTCAAGCTTTGAGCTCCACTAAACTCTGTACTTATTCACTTAAAAAAAAGATTACAATATAAAAATAAGCCTTAAAAGCAACAGAATAAACCATGGGAGATGTTTTCTTTAAAGCTGAGTAAGGGGCTGGGTGTGTTGGCTCACATCTGTAATCCTAGCACTTTGAGAGACTAAAGCAGGAGGACTGCTTTAGGCTAGGAGTTCAAGACCAGCCTGGGCAATAGCCAGACCCTGTCCCTACAAAAAAATTTTTAAATTTAGCTTAGCATGGTGGTGCACACCGATAGTCCCAGCAACTCAGGAGGCTGAGGCAGGAGGATCACTTGAGCCCAGGAATTGGAGGCTGCAGTGAACTATGATAACACCATTGTACTATAGCTCCAGCAACAGAGCAAGAATCTGTCTCAAAAAAAAAAAAAAACCCAAAACAGACAAACAAAGCTGAGTGAGCAAAGCCTTTCAAACTACAACATAAAATCCAGAATCAAAGAAAAATAAAGGATGGATAAATTCAATCCCACAAATATCTAATGTTTTTGCACGGGGGAAAAACACCCTAGGGCCTAGGCAAAGACAAAAGTGAGGTGGCTCATACCTGTAATCTAGCACTCTGGGAGGCTGAGGCCGTTTGAGCTCAGGAGTTGAGACCAGCCTGAGCAAGAGCGAGACCCAGTCTCTACTAAAAAAATAGAAATTAGCTGGACAACTAAAAAAATATATATGTGTGTGTATATGTATATATATAAATTAGCCAGGCATGGTGGCACATGCCTGTAGTCCCAGCTACTCAGAAGGCTGAGGCAGAAGGATCGCTTGAGCCCAGGAGTTTGAGGTTGCTGTGAGCTAGGCTGACACCATGGCACTCTAGCCCAGGCAACAGAGTGAGACTCTGTCTCAAAACACACACATACACACACACACAACAAACTGGGAAAAAATATTGCAACTTATTTGACAAAGATCTGATTTTCCTAAGATATAGTGAGCACCTATGAATCAATAAGAAAAATGGGAAAGGATATTAATAGACATAGGAAGGAAAACATATCTTAAACTTATGAAGAAAGTTCACTCCACTCAAGGTATTTGCAAATGGAACCACCTGGAGATACCATTTTCAACTATCTGGTTGACAAAGATCAAAAAGTTTGATAACATAGTGTTGACAAGGATATGTGGAAACACACTTAGGGAGAATTGAGCAATATCTACTCAACACTACACATGCCCACCACTCCCTTTGACCCAAATAGCCTGCTTCTAGGGATAGTCCACATGTATGTACACACAAGTTCCTTCACTGCAGCTGTAGTAACAACAAAAGGTTGGAACCAATATCAATTTGGTTAAAAATTACTGTGTATAAAATGGTATATTATAAGCCATACAAATAGTCCTGAGGAAGCTCCTTTTGTACTTTCATGGAGTGATTTTCAAAATATATTAAGTACAGAACTGTATGTATAGTATCGTACTATTTGTTTCATAAGGGTAAATTAACCTCTGGAAGGACATTTAAGAAACTGCCTCTGGGGAGGGAAACTAAGAGGCTGTAAGACAGACAAGGGAAGACCTTTCACTTTGTATCCTTTGAACCTTGAATTAAACTTTCCAATAAAAACAGGAAACAAAATTTCTTTGCGGTTCTAGGTAAACTGAATTTGAAGGGAATCAGTATTTATTGAGTTCCTACTCCGTTCCAGACACTATTCCAACCACTTCCACATAATACTATTTAGTTTACCCTGGTAGTCCACTGATGGGGGTATAAATGGTTCTAATTTTACAGATTAGAAAATAGATTAGATTCGTCAAGTAATTTCCTCACGACTAATCTAGTTTAAAAGCTCCAGCTTTCTCTACTTCTCACAGCTTCTATTTAAGCAGTGTCCTATCTTAAAAATAATATTGGTATCATTCAGTGCTTTAAATACCTACTCTCATATAATTCTCAAGACAACTCCGGAAGGTAGGAATTACTATCCGTTTTTACAGAGAAGATAAAAGAGGCTCAGAGGCTTCACGCCTAACGAGCCCAAGGTCACAGGTACATAAACGTTTGGAACCCAGGTTTAATTCCAAAGCTCCTGCTGTAAAATCGAAACCACACCCGGTTCAAAGGACAAAAGCGGGAAAGCTCGCTCCGCGCCGGAAGGCACGGACACTTCCGGCGAAGGGGAGGAAAACAGGCTGCGGAAGGCAAGCTCGCGAGAGGACGTGCCGCAGCACCGCCTATCGATCACCTGGCCCCGCCCCGCGCCGGCGCGCCCCCGGGCGCGCCCCGCCCCCCAGCTCTGGCCAGGCGGGAAGGGAACGCGCGCTTCCTCCCGTTACCCTCCGCCAAAGGGAAGGGCGGGGGAAGCGGAGGCGCGCGCTCGCGGGCTACGTGCTCGCGTACGTCGCCCGGGTTCGGCTGCGTCCGTCCCGCCGCCCGCCCGTTGCCGCCGCCGCCGCCGCGCTCTCGCTTTGCCGGCCGCCGCCTAAGGGGGGCTGGGGCCGGGGCCAGCCACCACCGCCGTTGCCGGGATGCCGCGGGTGTACATCGGCCGCCTGAGCTACCAGGCCCGGGAGCGCGATGTGGAGCGCTTCTTTAAGGGCTATGGGAAGATCCTGGAAGTGGATCTGAAGAACGGGTGAGGAGGGCGGAAAAGGGGCAGGCCGGGTGGGGACAGAGCCCCAGTGGTGGCGAGGAGTCCGCGGGGACGGGAGAGGGACGCCTACCCCGCGCGGAACAGCTACCGGCCTGGTCTGGATCCGCCATAGTGGCAGCGCCTCGGGGGCGCGGGTAGGCCCCGGTTCCCACTGCGCCTGCGCGGGTGGGGGTGGAGGAGGGATAATGGAAGCGATGGTGAGGATCTGAGTGGGACCGGGAGAAGGAAACCCCGAGTGGGGTTGGGAGTCTGGGCGGGAGGACACAGCTCCAGGGCGACCGGGAGGACTGGGTTTTCCTTTTCCAGGTCCTGGACTGAGGCCTGGTTTGTCTCCGGGTAGAGACCGACTTTTCCCGCTCTTGAGGGCTGCTGGAAATAAACAGGATTTCCTGCTCTATTTTCACCTCTTCCCCAGTCTAATGTATCAGAGAGTCACAACGCGTCTTTCCTGGGAACGGGAGCTCTGGAGGGGGCCTCTTTTAGACTTGCCATGTGCCACCCTCTTTTGGGCGGGAGACTCTAGTTTGAGTAGTCTAGTGACAGTTTCGAAAGTATCGTCTTGCCAGGCTGAAAGCCTTCCCCGTTCCCTCTGCAAGGATAAATTAAAGTCTTAACTCTTTATGTTTAAGACTCGTGCAGAGTTTCCATGCTGTGGTTTCCGTTCTCCATCTTGGCAAAAAATTGCTTTGCTGTTGTACAAATTTTTAGAAAATAGTGGCCACCCTGACTAGTATCTCTGCGTCAACTAGTTAATGCAAACGGAGACACACATCTCCAGATTACTAACTTACTGCCTTTCCTATGGTCTGTTACTTGTGTTCCTATCTACTTGGGCAAAACAGGGCCAGCATGAATTACAACTTTTAGGGAAAACAAATGAGGAATCAGGCCTGCAGAAAATAATCAACGAGGAAAACTGTAAACCAGGAATGTTCGGTAGAGTTTGGAAGGCATGGATATAAAATCAAAAGGACTAGGGACAACATTGTAGGGCACTAAACCCTGGATGTTAGAGGAACCCTTGGCTTTTAAAAATAAAATCCCTCGACTTTGCAACAGGTCTGATATATAGCTACAGCTTACTCTTCAGTGGAATACTAGCAACTGACACTTGAGGCGTTTTGAAAGACACCGAAGTATAAGTTGCACATTTGAGAAAAATTGGTAGCTACCATATTTTCAAATTTTTTTAAGTTTAAAAATCCATTTCCAATTGATCATCAGGAAAGCTCACCCTCCGAGGACATTGTCAATAAAGTGTTTATGAAGAATACAATTTTCTTTTAGAGTAAAAAGCTTAGAAAATTACTCATTTTGTACAATAGAACTTTCGGTTCTTAAAGAATAAGTTGAGGGGGTGGTATTGTGCTACATATATGTGAGAGAGTTAATACTCCAGTTTTTGCAGAGCCCAACTAAGTTGACAGTATAACTGTTACGGGGAAAGCATGGGTTTTGAAGTCAGATAGGTCTGAGTCAAACTCTTGACTCCACCATTTACATCTATGGACAAGTTACTTCTTTGAACCTGTTTCCTCATTCACATGGAAAAGGAAGGTTAGAGGTAATAAATGTAAAGCATTTGGCTTATAGCAGTAAGTGGTAACTGTAATCAAAGGAATTTGACCATAATCATTAGGAGACAGCTTGTTAGTGTTTGATGACATAAAGCATATTTGGTGAGGTCTTTTTTAAGGTTACTCAAGTGATATTAAATAGGAAATGATGTGAGTGTTAATGGGGAAACTGGTTAGTCAACCAAGTGTGATAGACCACAACCAAGATGTCTGCCACTGTGCTAAATAGGATTGGGGGAGGAGGCAGGAAAACAAGTGCTGTTCTTAACATAAATTAAGCATTATGACATGTCCATGTTGAATTAAGAAATGCTTGCTCTCTTTGAACTCAAACGAGTAAAACTTAGAACGGTTTGCTTGAAAAGATTTGTTTGAAATGGGTTTTGAAGAAAGGATTGAGCAGGGCTTGAAATGAAGAAAGTATGTGGCAATAGTATATGTCATAATTGGTAATGAGTACAAGATCCAATAAGGAGTATTTGTGAGAAATAATCTAGCTTGGATTGAGCTTTATGAAGGACCTAGAAATTTAACAACATAAAACAGAAATGACAACTATTAAGATTTTACACTAAAGTCAATAGGTAGAAATTCAAAGGCTCTGAAGGGAAGAATTGAGCAACCCAGGAAATGGTAAGATAAGAGGAGGAGAGAACCTTCTGAGACCCTAAATACCTGGGTCTCTTTTAAGAAACTGTTCATTCTTACAATTATGCTGCGCAACCATTATATATATGAAATCTGTCACTGAAAGTCAAGGTTGAAATGAGGAATAGAAGTCATAGGGATTTGAAGACAGGTGTGACAACCTTCAAACAGCACAAGATATGACCTCCTGGCAACATTCAGAAAACATTGCAGAGGAAAATGATTTCTGGGAAGCAGACCAATGGTAAAGATGAATTTCAAGCAAGAATTGACTATATGGCATAAAGGCAAGAAAGTCTGAAAGGAAGGAGTAGGTTCAAAAGGAAAAGATG